ACTTCTTTTTTTACTAATGAGATACAGCATATATTCATTAATTTACTGGCTATTTGGACTTGTGCTTTGAATTCTGACTTTTTTTTCCTATTGGGATTTGTTTTTCACATTAATTTCTTTTAAATTAAATATGAAAGAGCTATTCATATATTCTGAATACAAGTCCTTTGTTAGTTGTCTTCTTTTCACAATGTGGTTGGATTTCCTCTACTTTTAGTATGTCTTTTCATGAATACAAGTTCCTAATTTTAATAAATCAAACTTATCAGCCTTTTCCCTTTTAATTGGTGTTATTTAACAAATCACAAGGCCTATATTATTTTCAATAAGATTTCTTGATTTGTTTTTCAAATTTAGTTCTTAATTCTCTGGAAACAATGTTTGGTATAGGGTACGAGGTGGAGGTGCAAATTCATTTTTTCCCATACAGACACCTACCTGTCTCAAAATCATTTTTAAAAGTTTGCCCTTTCCTCATTGATCTACAATATTACCTCTGTCATATATTAAGAGTCTCTATGTATGTAGATCTCATTGGGGGGGTCCTTTCTGTTTAACTGGTCAGTTTGTTTATCCCTGTGCCAACACCACATTGTTTTAATAATAATAACTATATATATAAGTATTATAATATCTGGTAAAGCATCTGCTCCAACCATTTTTTTATTCAAAAGAGCTTCTTTGATATCTTGGTTCTGCATTTCTACATAAATTTTAGAATCAATTTGTCAAGTTATACACACATCACTACTGGGGTTTTTACTGGAATTTCAATGAATCTATGGATCAATTTTGGAAGAACTGATACCTTTACAATTTTGGGTCTCTCAGTCATGGACATCGTACTGATGTAACATTTAGTCAGGTTGTCTGAACTGTCTCAATAAAATTCCATAATTTTCCTATAGAAGGCTTGCTTTTTGTTCAGTTGTTAAGTATATCATATTACTTGATGCTATTGTAAATGGTATGTTATTTCCTTATTTCCCAAAATGGAATGGCTATGTACATTTTGACTTTGAATCCAAAAATCTTACTATATTGAATACATTTTTAAGTAAAAAAAGTTTTTTTTTCATTCTCTTTCCCAAAATAACTTATCATTTGTGACAACTCCATTGTCTCCTTGTACAATACATGGGTCACCTGGATAGATCACCTGGTGTGGTGGTCGCTGACTAAGAGCACAGACTTTGGACTGAGCCTTGTCTCAGTGAAGTCCCAGAGTGATTACCAGCAGCTGTGAGTATGAGCAGGTGACTAAATTTAGCACATAACATTTCCCTTTTCTGTAAATACACACATTAAAATATTCTACCTATTACGAATGCTTTGAGGATTAAATGTAGCAATGTATGTAAATAGCACATAACCTGGCATGTACAAATGTTGACCAATATTAATCATAATGATTCTTGCTTATCATGTATTAACTGTTTATGTTGAACATAAGTCTTAACCAACAGGTTCACTTTTCCTCTTAAATATTTATTTTTTTACCCTTTCCTTTCTCCTGTAGTTTTTGTAATTTTTCTCAAAAATACAACTGCAACCTTTGTCTCATCTTGCACTAAATCTTGCTCTAAATATTATTTTCACCTTCCTTTCGAAATCTTACCAACAACTTCACATGTTCAGGTAGGAAGATAAAATTTTTTTCCCTTGAATATTTCATTTTCCTGCACAAAACATTTATTCCTTCTTAAAAGTTATTCCCAAGTTAAAATAATAGTTAAAGTATTATACTACAGTCATACAAGATGTTTTCATTGGGTAAAACTGGATGAAGAGTACATAGGCTCTTTTTATGTTTTTTTTTTTTTGGTGTGGCAACTCTCTATGTATCTGTAATTATTTAACAACAAAACATTTTTAATAATCAAAAATATTTATGTAAGAAACTTACATAAATATTTTTGCTCTTTTGTCCATTCCCTTGAACCTGAGAAAAACACACCTCAAATTTAAAAATTGCACATTCTTAGGATTCCCAGAACCCCAAACCACTTAATTAAATTAAAGAGACACCATAATCATTGGTGATTTTCTGCCATGTCCCTAATCAGACTCCCATAAAAATAGTGAATAAATAAATAAATGCATATATACAAGAACTGAGAGTTAGTAGTTAAACTATACAGAATGATGTTTTGTTTCTTATTCTATATTAGCTACATCAAAAACAAACCACCCTAAAAATTAAACATCAAGCTAATCTTTGGTCATCCATTTATTTACTCACAAATTTGAATGGCCTTTTTGGTTTTTAGTGACATTTTAAAAGCAAAGTATTTATTTTGAAAGTAATATACCTATATTCACTGAGAGCAAACAGACATTATACAAAAATGAACAGAAAACTAAAATTCAATTTTTAAAAAGTCCAATAATATATGTAGCATTAAATTAAAAAATAAAGGAAATAAAAATGGAACATAGAAATAAGCAACATCAAAGAACTTTTAAGTCCATTAATATTCTTGATAAAACTTAAGAGGACATCACATCCACAAAAAATATGGAGCTTTAAAATGAAATAATTAGATTCACAGAAAATGAAAGCATGATTTTAAAAAATGAAAATAGTATTCTATATAGCACAATGGACACAGCTGGAATATGATTTAGTGAGCTGAAAAGGGTTATTCTTGGAACATAAAACATACCATACACACATGTGACTGCAAGAAAGGAGTTAGAAGCGTTGGATAACTCATCTAGAAGTTCTAATATCCACATAATAGGAAGATTAGAAAGAAAGAGCAACTTCAGTAAGAGGGAATAATCAGACATGTAAGAGAGAGTCTGTCTAATCTATCCTACTTTAGGCACATCATGAGGAGGCAGATTTCTTAAGAAAAGACAACAATGCTAGGAAAAACAGAAGGCAGCAGGACAAGAGGAAGACCAAATGTGAGTCTACAGGAGCTGAGCAGGGCTGCTGAGGAAAAGACCTTGTGGATACATTCATTCATAAGGTCGCCAGGAGTCAAAGCTGACTCAACGGCATGTAGCACACACAAGAAAGAGAATGTTCAGAGATTTAAAAAAATAATAATAATGATAGCTAACACTTATATGGTGCTTACAGTATACCAGGCACTATGCTAAGCACTATGTATAATTTCAATATATAGAGATATATACACACATACATATATATGTGCCTACATACATATGTAGTGTAATTCCCTATAAGTATTCTTATCCTGCTTTACAGATGAGGAAACTGAAGGAGACAGGGTTAAGTAACTTAGCCAAGCTCACACAGCTTGGAAGTGGGCGAACAGGGAGTAAAACCCAAGCCTTCTTGCTTTAGAGTACAGGATCCTCAACGCTAAACCCTCGAGTCTCCCAAGTAACAGAACATCTCATTACTGTGCTAAGCAACATTAATTTTAAAAAGACTCATTCTAAGATATATGTTGGTAAACTATCTGAATTTAAATAATAAAAAGAAAGCTTTAAAAGGTAACAGTGGGGAGAGGAAAGGTTTCCCTCAAACAAAAAATAAATAGATGCATATGGGACTTCTAGTTGGCAACACTAGAATTTTAGAAGATAATGAAACAATAGCTTCAAAGTTCTGAGAACATATGAAATATCTGGAAAAAGTTTACCTATTACTAATTACCATTATTTTCAAATGGTGAGGTTTGGGGTGATTTTTTTTGTTTACCTCCTTTGTACTTTTCTCTCTCATTTTAAATTCTGATAATGAACATATGTTTTTATTGAAAACAATAAAATTATTGTTATAAAGATAAATACATACACATGGACTAAATTTCTTAAATATGAAAAATAAAACTATAAAGGTACTAGATAAATATAGTATACTTTTTTCTCATTGAAGGGGATGTGGATAAGAAAGATTGTCCAGAAAAAGATTTTTTTAATAAAAAGAAGCCATAAAGGAAAATGAAACAAATTTCACTGCATCAAAAAATGTTAAATCTTCATAAGACATAAGTTAAAAGATGTGTGAGACTAGAAGAAAATATGTTACATATGTAGCAAACAAAGACAATATCTATAATATAAACAGTTCCAGAAATCAACAGAAAAACATTTTAAAGCATAAAATGAACAAGAAATATAAACAGGCAATTCACAGAAGCACAAATAGCCAATACCCACTCAGCCCATCTTGTATTCAGAAAAAAGACAGAAGTAAGTAAATACTGTACCATTTTTCACCCAACAAACTAACGGAGATTTAAAAGATTAATAGTACATAACATTTTCAGGATTAGGAAACAGCCAGTCCTATCTATGACTAAAGAGGATGTAAATGGAACATTTTGGAAGGGTGTATTTGCATTCACTCTTACTTGCTAGCTACACAAGAGAGTCTAAAGGCAATGTCTGAATCATCTTTGCAGAGATTGACTCATTCTCCACAGCTTATTGATGGGCTTCATCAACTAGGGACTGACCCTCGGAAGCTCCCACAACAGCTGCCAGCATTTCTGGAATCAATACTAGAGCAAGAATTTTCCATCTGCTTTCCCAAATCTGATTGGATATAATGTAATATAATATCATCATACATTCCTAACAACATTCTGACAATGTTGTTATTTTCATGCATGCATATGCAGTAGATTGGTCATTTCTTTGCTTTTATTCTTAATAAATCTGATAACAATTCAGTTTAACGATCAATGTCCATCAGTGAGTTAGGACTGAAGCCAACACACTGGAAAGTAGTAGCAATGAGTAAGCAGGATATTGTGTTGCTTCTTTGAGCAAAACAATGGATCCACATGTTATTTCTACCACCTCTGAAGGCAAGGAACAGAATTCCAGCTGAAGTGCAAAGTAGTGTTTGGATTTCTGTAATGCTGACTAGTTTATTTGCAATTTCTTTCTTCATCCTTCCAGCCTATCCAGATGGTTTTCTTCTTTGTTTCCTAAACTGAGTAATGCTCACTGCCTTGATGATGCTAAATACTTCACAAATCTTCCTCTTTAGCTCCTCACACACAAATGCTTACCTTTGCCGAATTATGCTGGGGTTAGCTGTCACTAGATGACTTTTGGACCCAACATCTTTAGTGTATTCACTTGACAAGGGAGGAAGATTGCATCTAGAGAAACAAGAACCAACATTTGAGAATGATTTTCCTACTTTCAAACCATCAGTAATCATAATAAATAAGACTTTTTTTAAGGCTGGCACAATTCACAAGTGAAAGAAAACATCAGCCAGAGAGGGAAATGGTCTATGAAAGGAAAGAGGTGTATTTAGAATGAATTTACTCCATTCAAAATATTTTTGAGGTGGGAGGACAGGAAGTATTTGACTTGAAGTTAGAGCTCAGGCGGGTGGGGTACACTAGGGGACAAAGGACCTACACTGTTCCCTGCATACCTACCAACCTCAGGAGATAGAGGGGAATTGTATTTGTTTGTGTTTTTCCTTCTTTTCCCAAGTTCTGAATTATAATAGTACATTCAGAACAAACTCTGCCTTGAATGTACTATTATAATGTACCAAATCAATGCAGGTCCCGCTTTTGTGGACATGACTGATCTATGGGTTGATTACTGCTGAAGTCATAATGTTATGTCATCTGGAGAAATGCAGTGATTCTCCATCATCCCGGTTCAGCCGAAGGAAAGACTATAGGTGATGCTTCCCCGGTGAGAGAAACATCTGCCTCTCCCTCACACACACACACCACCCTCTCCCCAGTTTGCTTTCCTGGGCCACAGTGTGTTACGAATGTTTACAATGGAAAAAATGGCAACTGCAAATCCAAATCCCATGGCTTGTCTGTCAGTGGGAAATTATACAAATTCACTCATCTGTCTGGTCTCAGTTTCCCTGTTACACAAAATGAGGATAGTGACTTTACCTTTCTAATAAGGTTGTAAAGATTAACAGAAGCAATGTATAAACAGTCCCTACTTTGATGTCACACACATAATAAAAGCTCAAGAATGTCACATACCAGAAGTAGCATATAAACATAATTATGCATCTATTATGTATGCATAATCAAATGTATCTATAGTTTCCATTAGTTTTTATTTTATTTCTGTGTCCTAATTTCTCCTCTCCACCCGACTTCTACTAAATAAGGTCACATTGCTTACTTTTTATTACTTCAACAACCTAAAGCATTGTTTATTTGTAGGTAAAGAGATCTTACGAATGTTAATGTCTCTACAGTTCCCCAACTAATACATTTTTTCCTACAAAGTTTCCCCAGGACATGGAATTGTCTGGGCACCCACTCAGCTGATCAGCTCCAGTTTTCTGATGTCTCTTATTTACCCTGTGACTCCTACCGCCTTAGGGCATCCTAGGTGGAAACCTGTCTCCATTGATTTGGAATCTTCCTTTCATCTGTTCTTTGGTAATGAGATACTGGTTCTTCTGGCAGCTACCCACAGACAGTCAGCTAGTCAGTGAATTTTGCTGAGTGTGACTGAGAACAAACACTGTAGGCACGGTGGGGAGCCCAGGGGAAGCCAAGTCGCAGAGCCTACCCTTGAGGTGTGTCCCGCTGGTGGGCACACCCCATCCCATGGGGTTTCTGAGGGAGTGAGTTTAGGCATTAACAACCAGGCTCAGCTGGCCGCAGCGCTGACTGCGGTCTTGTGACTTCATTGATCTTTGCAAACATGAAGATAACTTCCAGGATAAAACTCATGCTAAAGTTTGGAGATTTGCCTTGTGAAGCAGTTCTGATCTTGGTGGTCCTTCATAACATTTGAGAATCAACCAGTTTATGCTAAAACTACAAACTCTGTATGTTGCTAAGGAGTGCTGGCTACCAGCTTTGTCACTATTAAACAAAGAAAATACTTCGTTTTTCTCTGTGTTCCTTGTAGGTAGAACCATGGTTCATATATCTAGGTTCCTTCACACCTCCTGCCAGAGTAAAAGCCCAAGAAAAACTTGCAGACATTGACTGCCAAATCCTACAGCAGAGGGAAATGCTTGAAACAATAAAGACAACATTTTATAAATGCTTTTCTGTAAAATAATGAAATTATATTTTGGTGTGAATATCTGCTTTAAGTTCCCTGGGTAAACTTTATCTTCAAGTACAAATGTCTATGACACACCCCTGTAGCTCTTTTCTTAGAAAAAGCACACTATAATTTTAGCTCCTCAACTCCTAAATTGATAATCACATAGATTTACATAAAGGCATATTTAATACAGTCAAATTGTTCCTAATAAAGCATAATTGCGTAAAGTGCTTCACATTTTGCACTACCGCTTGTTGGCACAATTAACAGACATCAATGGTTACAGTGTCTTAGTAGCTGTGCTCATGATCCTAAAAGATTAATCACAGAAGTGATCAAAAATGAAATATTCTTTGCATCGGGGTGTGGGAGTGGTAGAGAATAGGCTTGATGGAGAGGAATCTTTAAATAGAAAAGAAAGCATAAAATTACTTTTTCAGTTTTATGTTTCCTTACATATGCAAACTTCAGCATAAGTCAAAGGCACCACAATGATCTTGCTCTAATTTGTGTTCCCGAGACACCCAATTCTTCTCTAAGATGCAGTCACTCTTATCTCTCTCTTGCAGGCCTTCTAGATAAATTTTATTCTCCAATATTATTTTTTAAAGTTTTGTTTTTAGCTATAAAGCAAGCATTTACTTTGAAAAATGGCAAATTGATTTTTAGCATTAGAAGACGTATTTGAAACTGTATAAAGGGGGGTAGGATCGAGGGTGGGAGGTGGGGAATGGCTGGGGTGGGTGGGAGTGGTGGAAAAAATGAGGTAATGGGTGTTTAACTAGACTTACTGTGATGATAATTTTGTAATATATACAAATATGGAAGGTTGTATACCTAAAACTAATATGTTAATTATACCTCAATAAAAATAATTTTAAAAAATAAAGAGAAGCTTTTAAATTAAAAAAAAAGAAAACGTATAAGCAAAGAATATTATAGCATTATTATACTCTTGTCCCAAAAGGCGTTTTGAGCACCACTGTGGTACATCACTGTGCAGAGAGAAGGCCATGGCTGTTACTGCAACTGTCCTCATGTCCTGTAGTCTAGAGCCAGACACACTGTGTGTTTCTAGTCATGTTCACTCACTAAATGTGGAATTTTGAAGGTATGCTACTATCTCAATTTTCTAAAGGTCCCCCAAAATGTATACTAAGCAGCCATTTATAAATAGATCCATAAATGGTCCAATAAAAATAATTTTTAAACAATTTACCAATATTTAATTACTTCCATGTTGTAAACCATAAATGAGGCTTTTAAAAAATTCAATTGTGTCATGCAAATAGCATCAGCCTTGAAATTAAATCACAGGCACACGCACACAGAGCTCTAGTTGTGATGCTGTCTTCTGTGAACGCTTTCCAGTCCTCAGTGCCCTCGGCCGTCTCTGAACTTTATTCTTACTGCAATGCTGGCACTCTAATCACAGGGACTTTTTGATTCTGAACCTGAATATATCAACACCAGATTGGATACAACTCAAAGTTAGTCTGCTTGATTTACAATAAATATGGCCCACAAGATCAGCCCCTAAGAAGCTTAGGCCTCGTCTTCCACATTTTCCCTTTAAAATATCCATCTCCCTAAATGTAGTGACACACACACATGCACTCAGGAATAATACTGGGTTGGCCAAAAAGTTCATGTGTTTTATTCCATAAAATAAATGACATTTTTCATTTTTACCAATAACTTTATTGATTAGGATATTTTGAGTATGTCAGCTATTTCCTACATGATATAATAATAATTGCTCTCAATGCCTAGATTTGATCACTATCAACTTCAACTGGTCTACCCGACCATGGAGCATTGTCCAGTGAGAGATCTCCAGCACAAAACTTCACAAACCACTTCTGACATGTTTGATCAGTCACAGCATCTTCTCCATACACTGTGCAAATCTTTTGCTGCATCTCAGTTGCATTTCTTCTATCTTCAATATTGAAATGGCTACACAAAAGTTTACCAATTTTGATGTTTTTTTAATGCACGCTGATAGGAAGCTGTCATAATACAATCTAACACAATTATTTTGAATGAAGTTCAAGACAACTAAGTATTGCTAGAACCATCTTACAGAAAAAACCTGCCGGAGTCCAGCTCCAGCAGGTCCAGGGATTCCCAATGGATGGACGGCCTCGGTGAAGGAACGACACAAGAGGTGCAGTTTCAAGCTCAACAGCCAGGCATCTCTGCTGGGCTCTTGCGGTTTTTATTTTTATACAGTTGGGTGTATACATGTGGCATATGTGAAAGCAATTAAAAAAATGAGGTTTTTAAGGCATATTTGCTTTATCCTTATTCTGCAGAAAATAGGAAGCAGCTCTCTTTGCATATTATTGTGCAAGCTTTTAGCTCCTAATCTTTGCAATTAATCAGTAACACATTTTACCACATTATATAACACCTTAATTTCTTAAAGCTTCACTTAAGTTTAATCTATATATTCTACAGTTGCAAGCTGGGCACAGGACTGTTTTAGCTCACTGGCAAAGGCCGTGCAGAAGGCTTTCGTGGTCAATGTGGTTAGTATCTGTCTCTCACTTCTCACTTCAGCGCCAGAACCCTGTCATCTTGTGCAAGTAATAATCTTTGTTTCACTCAGTCCATTTGGCTGCCTGCCATCTACCTTGGTGTTTATGTATATTTATTATTTGTCTCTATCTTTGATGTCTGACTTTTTAGGCAATAAACACCATGGGGATCCTGATCGCTTAAGCATTTCATAGAAGGGGAGTGTATAATAATCTTTCCAATATCCATTTATATGTACCCATTATGTTTCTTTATGATAGATTCTGGTATAGGGTAAAGGGGAATCAGTGGGCCTAGGAGTTAGAGGGGGAACAGACCATGGATACTGGTACTATGATGACCAAATGTGCTTTTTGAATCTATGTCTAGCTCCCAGAGCCCTGGTTCTAAGGAACTGTGTAATAAGGGTGGGTTACAGGGACTTTTGTAGGGAGTAATCCTAGGAGTCTTTTCCATTCCCATTCTTTGAACTGTCTAACCCACTTAGGAGGACATTCTGGTGGGGAGTCACTCTCCAATGAGCTGTCATTTTCTTGCTTACTTCCAAAGAACTGTATTTCTTCTGTGGAATTGCCATTTGTCCCAGTCCCATGGTAAATCACATAGACCCTAAGCACAGCTAGTAACACAATGATTAAGCAGAGGAGTGCCAAGTACTTTCCCCCACCATGTCTGCTGTGCGGACTTGTGGCTCCCTCTGTGACTGTGTCAGACAGCAGGGCTGGGTTGGCTCTCGGCAAAAACCAAATGAACATTTTAGCCAACCCAATATAAAAAGACATTGTACTGCCTCCTTCTACATTGCATTAAGACCTCTTGAAGTCACTTAATGTCCCTGAATCTGCGAGCATAATATTATCCATTCCTTCTTCCTTACATAGCTGTTGGAAAGAGCAAATGAATTTATAATCAAGAGCAATTTGAAAGTTTAAACTAGTCTACATTAACTGTGTTACAATGACATAGTATTCATACAATCACAGACAGAATCAGAGTTTCTACAGTGGAAAGGCTTGAAGAATCGTCTGCTCCCATCTCCTCAAGTACCTTAGAAAGCTGAGCACCGGCAAAGGTAAAATGACTTAATGTGGATCACAGAGCAGGCTTGTGGCAAGGGCCTGCCTTCCTACCTCTCTTTCTTTGCTGGCTTGTTAGCCTCTGCCTAATGCCAACAGATTGAAGTGAGTACCTGAATTTGCCCCAGGGTCTCTGTTCTTCTGTCTGTCCTCTCCAGGTGACTGTTTCCACTCCTATAGCTTACATATGTCTCCAGCCCCACCTCGCACCATTCCTGTGACTCACGATACTGTGATGGCCCTTGGTGGCTTTCCCACATTAAAGCCTTGCAAAAGGTTGTTCCTGTGCCCAGGGTGGAATAGCTGGTCCCAGACACCATTTTTCCTCAGAAACACCCAGCTATGCTCCCTGCCCCTGCCACAGTATGTCTCTGAGTTACAGCACTACCACACCTCCAGATTTTAAGCCCATGACAGAATTGTTCCACAAGCCATTTCCAGGTCTGGCTAAGGCCTAATACAGTGTAGGTACTCAATAAACAGAAGTTATATTGACTTGAATAAACAGAATTATATTTTTATCTTCTCCATTTTCCTATTGTTAGTATATACTGCCAATAATAATAATAATAATAATAATAAATAATTGCAATGAAGAGGAAAATGCTGTCTTACATTGGAAAAACTATGGCAGGACATCTCCCCATGTAAAAAGATCTCCCCATTCTGCTGCAGGCTTCACCAATGAGATTAGAAATATCTCAAGAAACCCAACCCTTGCCCTGATTGGTGTGGTTCAGTTGGTTAAGCAAAGTCCTGCAAAGAAAAAGTTTGTAGGTTTGATTCCGGGTTGGGGCACTTGCCTGGGTTGCAGGTTCAATCCTTAACTAGGGCATGTGTGACAGACCACTGATGGATGTTTCTCTCTCACATCAGTGTTTCTCTACCTCTATCTCTCTTTCTCGTTCCTTTTATCTAAAAATAAATAAGATCTTTTAAAAAAAGAAGCCCAACTCTCTTTCTCTGAGAGGAAACCTGGTCCTCCCCCATGTATGTGGCTTCCCCTGAAATACTCTCAAATAGTTTTTAGTTTCCCCTTATCTGCTTACTTCAGAGCGCAAAGGTGGTCTAGTGTTCTCTCACTTACCTTACCAAAGGTAGACTATTGTAATAGTAGACCATTTAGACTATTACTATTATCCTTAAAAATGAACATAAAAACTGAATCCCCGGCCTTCCGTTGCTGAGGATTCTGTCCTCTGAGTTCCTTCAATAGTTTCAGTGACAACTATCTTCTTTTTCCAGAATACATCTGAGTATCCCCAGAGAAGATAAGCTTCAAAATTACTGCTCCAGCAGGCCATTCTCTGACTTGAGTGCTTATATCCCACCTCTCTCTCATCCTCACCACACACCCCGGCAGGCTCTGGAGGACCCTAGCATTTGCCCCATGTGGCTCCTCCCTTCGTCTCTCCTTCATGCCTCGAAGGCCCACTTCCTAGCCAGCCAGACTTCAAGGTTTTAAGCCCATGTCACTGAGCACACTCTCCAGCCAGTACCCTACATGTTGTCACTCCTTGTCCTTCTTTCCTTTCACTCAGACAATCCCCAACTTGTGTCAATCCAATCACACGCTGTCTTTACTTCTGGTCAAAAACTGCCTAATAGGACAGGTCAGTGCCACTAGTTTGATGGTCTCCACCCTTGGTTGGAGGTGTTGCAGCAATTCCTTTACATGCCGCTGCAGAAGCCTCCTGTTTTCCACTGAGAGTGACGCACACATCACCACTCTGCTCAGTCCTTTATTCCAAGTTTACTCCCTGCTCGAAATTTATTCCCTCTCCTGCTTCCAGTTTTCCTCATCAGGCACAGACGAAATACCTCTTTAAACCCTACCTGCAACTTAAAAATGCTTTTGTGAAAAACAAAGAGTGGTATAAAATGAAATGAATAAATGAAAGTGTTTATTCATAGAAAGTTAGTCTTCAGAAAAAATGTTTAAAGTTTTAATTGCCTAACTGTGTAATCTAAAATAAAATCTGCGTGTTTCCATTTTGGGGGTCTGCCCATGACCTCTGAAACTTTCTCTGCTTTGTACTTTTCTTGGGGCAGGTTCCCTTGCTCCCCTGGCCCTTCTCCTGAACCCACTTGTATATGAACTTGAAGGGAAGCTAAAGAGCAGCTACAACTGATTAACCACAAGTGACTAGTTTCGAAAGGCCCCGGGGCTGGTGGGAGGGGTGGGGAAAAGGAGGAAAAGCAGAGGCCACGCTGTGGGTGCTCTCTCTTACCGCATGACAAAATTTGCTTCATCTATTTGACGGCCACAGCCACTCTTCTTCAGAATCCCACCATTTCCCACCACCGCACATTTCTTCAAGGGCAGCTGGAATGGGGTTGCCTAGCAACAGAAAACAAGGCGGGTTTTCACTGCAGAGAACACACAACTGCTCACAAAATCATTGTTTACAGCAGATCCTTTGGAGGAATTTGACTAAAGACTGGTCAGAGTGAAGAGAACATGTAGAAAGAAAGATGCAAGAAGTTTGTAAGGAAAAAACTACCCTGTTCCTTTGAACTAAAAATAAAAAACTAACTTCTTGAAGTGTATTTAAATAGACACTTTTTTTTCTGTATCAAATTGGCCATGCATATAGTATTGTCTGCCGTGGAAAAAAGAAAAATCCAAGCTATACATAGAAATATTTTTAAAGGCATTAAACTGGGAACAAACTCAAATGCAATTTCATTTATTCGTACAATTGGTTATGCACACTCAGCAAACATTGCTGAGCATTTGCTATGCTGACTCTTGTGTACTGACACAAGGACATAGAAGTCACAGGCCTCAGGATTCACAATTTGGGACATGAGGAGAGTGTGAACAGATATACTTATGTAACAGACTCTAACGTAATGTTGAAATTGCTGTAGGAAAGGTTGGCTCCAGACACTGTCAAGAATTCTATAGGAAAGCAAGAAGGCATTTTTGTCAAGTCGACTCAAGAAAAGCTTTCTCACTTGCAATGAATTTCAAAGGATGAGCAGTTTGGCCAGGCAGAGAAAGCAGCCAAAACAAAAACACAAAAGTATGGTGAGAGCCAATGCTGTGTTTATGATCAACTGAACACACTGGGTGGGTCTGTCTAGAAGTTAGGAGGGACTGAGGGACAACTGACTTGTAATTGACCCGGACAGCATGTGACTTTCTTTCTGCAAACATGGAACTGGGCTGCAAAGAAAATGTTCACTGTACCTGAGTGTTCTGAAGTGGTATTTATAGTACCAGAGAATATCAAAACCCAGCAATAGGCTCTGAAATTGAAATGTATCATTTGGTCTCTTTTAGCTAGATCAGCAAGATCCACCAGGTACAGAATTTCCTGCCTGATGAAGCAATGCATAATGGGTGGAGTTCTTTGGGAGACTGCACTGTACATACCTGGTACATAAAATAACTACAGTGATATTAAGTGGGCCATCCTGGATGAATCTGAAGTAAAAACATGGATGGCACCAAAAGAATAAATATTGAATAGAATAAATACATGAATGTATACTATAAAAACTTTGTCCAGGCATAAAATAATTAAACAAGAAAAAACATTGGAGGAATCTTTGTGCTCGTTAGCAGCTGAGGTAGGCTTCCAAGGCAGCACAAGAGGACAGTTGCACTTCCTTGGTTTCTGGTAGGTGAAAGGAACAACCAGATCTATGAAAACACAGTTGAGAAAGGTACAGTACTTAAAGTGTAAATTCTCAGCACTTGCCCACAGAGAGTTAAGAATTCCCTGCACAACCACAACAGAGCCCAGCAGAGTGAACTCCAGAGCAGGATGCATAAACGGGGGGGTGGGCAGAGGCCAGCACCCTCACACATCCAGGATGACCCAGGATGGTATGTGGCATTTTTCTCAGTCAGTCCTGAGGGCGGAGAGTTTGAAATCTACACTCGAAACTCTTTAGATTTATAAATTGTTAGATAAGATGTAAGTATTTATGCTTGAGTTAGCTGTTCATTTAAGGCACAACTATTTACTAAGTGCTACTATTCCAGAAATTGTCCTGGATGACAGAGAAATAAGTGATAATCCCTGCTGCCCTAGAGCTTAATTCTAGTGGGGAAATGGATGATGAATGAAGATAAATGAGTAAAACGAAGAACGTGTCAGGTGGTAAGATGGGCTGTGGAGAGAAAGAAATCTTTGGCAGCAGAGGATCAGGAAACGCTTTCGAAGAGAGACTGTGATTTAAACAGGGCGGCAGGGAGGAGCTCAAAGGAGTCACATAAACTAATCCCTGAGGAGATGAGGTTGTGCGCCTCACCGATGCTGGGGGGACCTGCTGGTGGAGACCTCGAGGAGGGAACATTCTGGGGTTTGGAAAAAACAGCAAGGGGACCACTGCATCTGGAGATGAGTGACAGGGGAGACAGAGTAGGAGAGGAGATCAGAGAGTTAATTGGTCGGGGTGTTGGGGAAGAAATTCTAAAGGGCCTTGTAGGGCCTGTTAAAAGGCTTTGAGTTTTATTTTAAGATGACAATCAAGTCACTGAATGGTGAGCAAAGGAATGACAATATGCCATATTTTGGAGCAATCACTTGCTGCTGTGTGAATAGGCTGTAGGATGTCATGGGCAGAAAGAAACAGACCAGTTAGGAGTCTCCTGTTACAAGAGACTAGAGATTCTGGTGGTTTAGACTAGGGTGATGACAGTGTGGATAATGAGGAATAAGCAGATTCTGGAGATATTTTAGAAGAAGAGCTGACTGGATTTGCTGATACAATGGAAATAAGTAGGGTAAGAGAAAAAGAGAGAAACCAAGAATCATGCTAAGGTCACCTATAAAATTGGACTTGCCATTTATTAAGATATGGAAGATTATGAGAGGGGTAGGCTTTAGGTAGATGATCTGGAGCTTAATTTTAAATGTATCAAGTGTGAGATGCCCATTACACAGTTTAGTGGCCAAGCAGGCAACTGGATACATGAGAATATAGTGAGAAAACTGGTCTTCCCTAGAGATAGAGAGTTGGGAGTGACCGGCATATAGCGAGCATTTAAAGTCAGGCAACTAGATGGTGAATGATGTGGACAGAGGAAGAAGAGGTCTAAGGCCTGAATCCCGGGCACTCCTCGGCAGACTGAGGAGAGATCAGTAAAGGAGGCTAGGAGAGAGTGGCCGTGGGAATCGTAGAAAATTATAGCAAAGTGTGGTGTCTTGGCAGTCAAGTTAAAAAGAAACTATCTCAAGGAGGAAGGAGAAAAACTGCACCAAACACTATGGTAGATCAAGTAGGAAAACAGCTGAAAATTGCCACTGGATTTAGCAACAGGAGGTCACTGGCAACCTCAACAAGGACAGATGGAGCTCAGTAGTGAGGACAGAAGACGGGTCTGAATCAGTGAGTTATACATGTATATTTGCATACCTATTTGAATATACTACAGTTTACTTGAAAAGTATGGGTTCACTTATCTTCAACTAATATTTAGTTTGCTAGCCCCCTCCCTTTGGTGTTGTTAGTTTGTAGAACAAGACTGACTGGCAATCCCAAGTTTCCAGGCAAGAATCCGGGCCCAGAACAAGCAGGTCTGGGAAGTGGCAACATAAACCTGGGTACAAATACTCCTCCATAACTTCCAGGTGGTGGGGTTAGGGGATTGTGGGGCAGGCTGTCAGGCCTTTGGCATTCTTCTTCCTGTTTCTAAAGAGGGATAAAATTGCACAGGATTTTTTGTTGTTGTTGCCTTTTTTTTTTGAGAGAGAGAGAGATGGAAACATCAATTTGTTGTTTTATGCCTTCATTGGTTGATTCTTGTGTGTGCCTTGACCAGGCAATCGAACCCACAGCCTTGGCATATCAGGATGGAGCTCTAACCAAATGAGCTACTCGGCCAGGGCGTGAGATTATATGAGATGATATATGTAAGGCAGCTCTCAGAGTCATGGGAATGGTCATCCACTCATCTTCCTCCACTTCTTTCACCCCTTTCCCCCTTGCAGCAGAGTTTACTAACTTATTTAAGCCAAGAAGTACCTAGGTTCCATGGGCTTGGGGGATACATGGTACAACAGTGATTTATCTCACTCTGTCTTAACAACTGGAATAGTTTATTAGCAGAGCATTTAACTATCAAGCCAATAAACTATAAAAAATGTTCAGCCCTCTCACAAATGCCCAGTGAGAAAGACAGAAGCCATTTCTGACTTTTTTCCTGGCAACATCTGTTTACTACTTCTCCATTCGGTCTCCTTGTAGTCCTCACACAAGCAATTTCACGTCAGTAAGTATTCCTTGAGAGCCTAAGCTGCCCTCTTCCAGGAACTGGTAACACATCAGTGAACAACAAGAAATCACTGATGCATTACATGGAGGAAAATTTTAATTGAGAAAACACTGAAATTTTTAAAAACTAATTGCAACAACATTATTATGCTAGTTTAGAGCACAGAATATCTCAGCTTGAGAAGGGTCAAAACTTACCAGAATAATGTATGAACAAGGTGTCCATACACCTCTTTTCTGGGTCTAGTACATAGAAAGAACTTTCAGTCGTCCAGTTCCAAATGAATACTATGATTTTTGGCAAGAAGTACTTTTATTAAGACACTCCATCCTTTCTCTTTAAAGGTACTTTCATGTATCCAGGTAAGAAAGTATCTATTGGATCTGAGATTATAGTATACTCTTTCTGCTAACCTTAAAAACTACTACTCTAAATGAAAAGATGAAGTAGGCAGATCGACTATAACCATGAGCTCAAAATATTGCTTGAGCACAATTTCATCTTATGGATCTCTGTCCAACTATTTCCACCTATCACTCTGCCCATCTGTTAATGGCTATCTTCTTAATGACCATGTTATTCAGTACATTAACCATCCATGTTCAGCTTCTGGTCTGCTAGGCCCCTCAAACTCTTGGTGTGTCAATGGAAGTCAGGACTGGAAGTCAGGAATGGAAGTCAGAAATGGTTCCATATATCTCCCAGTACAATTATAAGAATTTAAAGAAGGTGAAGTACTGAACATCATAAAACTCTGAAGTCCAATATCATTATATGATATGAATCCATTATAATATATTAAAAAATTTAATTCTATGGGGAAAATATCATTATATTGCTAGGCCACTGTGGCATTTATCTTTGTGTCAGATACTTTCAATTTCAAAGACTTGTATAAATTTTGAACAAAATATTTTTTATCATTGGACCTTTGAGAGCGTATCTCCTACATCCATCAACCAATGAGTTTTTAAATACACATTTTGTAGAATTCATTTCAGATAACATATCTTTTTGCTCAACTCTCTATGTCCAAAGCACAAATGATCAATGTATTCAATAAGTTAATCATTTAATCAGCATATTTATGTTGAGCATCTAATCAATTT